TCACCAGGTGGGGTGGCCCGATTTGCTGGTCCCTCTGCTGACCTCGTCCTGATGTGGCGGCTCCTGGTATGTCCCTCTGCCAAGGCAGCGGCAAGCAAGTCTACCTTCTTTTTCATTTTTTGGTCTGCTTCCCTCCGGGCCTCTTGGTCCCGGTTGGCAAATACCTCTGTCGCAACCTCTATCGGCTGGCTAGCATTCATTCCAGCAAAGCCCTCTGACTTTTGTAACTAGCGCCGGATATCTCCCTGAGCCTGACCAACAAAGGCCGCATTAATCATTTTCTGGATGGAAAGAATGTAGAGGCGAAATGCCTCGCACAGCCTCTCATTAACTGGCTGGGGCTTTCTTCGGGCTGTGGAGCACCTCTGAGGTTTCGCCCATGTTCACGTCTTTTCCCTCTTCTCTCATACCACCCAAAAAGGCCTCTTGATAGTGAGTGCTCAAGCATTCAAAATTCATGGCCATCATCAGGGTCCCATTGGGGGTTTTCCTCGGGGAACTGATTCTGGGTGTAGGCCTGAGCATTCATGGTCCCTGCAGGGGCGTGCTCCTCCAACACTCTAAAGCAGCCTGAGTATCCGGCGCTCTTCAGTGTTAAACACAGTTAAGAGAAGCTGGTGGCAATCAGTCCAAGGGGTGTTTGGGTGCCTTCGGGGAAGGGATGAATTCTGGGGTGAGACCAGTCCCTGGCATGGCCCCAGCTGCGGCAAGTGAGGGGGGTGCAGGCAGCAGTGAGGGGTACAGTGGTGCATAAGGCAGGGGATTTTCCTCAGGGTCCTCAGCCAGAATGGGCTTTCCTGATTCTGGTCAGCATTTCGAGGGAGTTGCTGCTCAGGCCAGCATGACTTTATAGTCTTCTTCCAAACAGACCTTTACCGAAGGTGGTCGGGAGAGAACTACATCTTGCCAACAGTCTATGTAGGGAAACTGGTCAGGGTGGCCTGGATCCCCCACAATAACCCTAAATACCTTACTAGCTCATTCTTTGTCTAGTGACCCCTCAGAGGGCCAGCCCACCCCAAAGGACGGCCACTCTACTTCTCAGAGTGTCCGAAGCCTTTGGGAGTTAACTTGATCCCATAATCCTCTGAATATCCCCTTTTGAAATTCTTTACCATGCACTCAATAGGGAAGTTTCCAACCACTAAAAGACGACAATCACACACAAGATGGGAAAGAATGGGAAGGGAGAAGGGATGGACACACACTTCGTCCATCTCCAGCCGTACCCCTCATGGGGATATTTCAGGTGCCTTCTAGCAATAGGCAAGTTGGTACAAACCCCTGACCAGGTTTCGATTCAGGTCAGCCTTCCAAGTAGCTGGAACCACAGGCAACCACCACCACGTCGGGCTGATTTTTAATTTATTTATTGTAGAGATGAGGTTTCGCCAAGTTGCCCAGGTAGGTCTCCAAACCGCGGGCTCAGGCAATCCTCTCACCTGGGCCTACCAAAGTGCAGAGATTATAGGTATGAGCCACCACACCCAGCTCTCTCTGCATCTTATAATAAATTGCATCTGTCTATCCACAGTGCCACATTTTACAGATGGACAGAGGCATCAGTACAACACTGACAGATCACATGAAAACTAAATCACCTAAGTCCTAAATAGCAACTAACTATTGCTGGATGAAATATTCAGCCAGGCGCAGTGGCTTATGCCTGTCATCCCAGCACTTTGGAAGGATGAGGCGAGAGGATTACCTGAGTTCAGGGGTTTGAGACCAGCCTGAGAGACATGGCAAGACCTCGTCTTTACAATAAATCAAAAAAATTCACCCAAGTGTAGTGACAAATGCCTGTGGTACTAGCTACTTGGAAGGTTGAGGCGGAAGGATCACCTGAGGCTAGAAGGTCGAGGCTGTGGTGGCCATGAGCATGTCACTGCGCTCAAGCCTGGGTGACAAAGGGAGACCCCAACTCAAAAATAAATAAATCAATAAATAAATAAGGTGCATACAATTTATCCCTGAGGGGTCTTATCAGTAAGAATACCAGTATGATAAAGATCTGTATAAACAAAAGTCTAACACTGATACAAGATTAAAATATAAAATCAATTTTATGTCTATGTACTTGTAAAAAAGATATAATTACATTTACAGTAGCATTAAAAAAGAACAAAATACTGTATCTAGAAATAAATTTAAGGCTGGGCATGGTGGCTCATGCCTCTAATCCCAGTATTTTGGAAGACTGGGTGGAAGGGATGATCACTTGAGGCCAGGAGTTCGAGACCAGCCTAGGAAATATAGTGAGACCCACCCCCCCACCATCTTTTAAAAATAAATTAAAAGAAAAGAAATATAGCAAAAGACATGCAAAACTTATGCTCTGAAAACTACAGTACACTGTTGAAACAAAGAAAACCTAAACAAACTTAGATATTCCATGTTCATGGTTGAAACACTATTATTAAGATGGCAATGCTCCCCAAACTGATCTATAGGTTCAACAAAATGCAACAAAATTTCAGCTGACTTCTTTGCAGAACTTGACAAGATGACCCTAAAACTCACATGGAAATGCAGGGGGCCCAGAATAGCAAAATCTTTAAAAAACAAAGAACATAGTTGGAAAACTCACACTTCCCAATTTCCAAACTTACTACAAAGCTACAGTAATCAAAATAGTATGGTGTTGGCATAGGGACAGACAGCAATCAATGGAATAGAAGTGAAAGTCCAGCAGTAAATCCTTACAATTACAGTCAATTCATTTACAACAAGAGTGCCAAGAAAATTCAATAGGGAAAGAACAGTCTTTGCAACAAATGGCACCAGGACAATGGGATTTCCACTTGCAAAAGATGAACCTGGATCCTCTCTCACAGCACACACAAAACTTACTCAAAATGAATTGAGGACCTAAATGTGAGACCTGAAACAATAGAACTCCTAGAAGAAAACTTCATCACATTGGATTTGGCAATGATTTCTTGAACATGACACCAAAAGCTTGGGTAACAAAAGCCAAAGGAAACAAGATGGGCTACATCTGACTGAAAGATGGCAATGTTGCAAAGGGAACACGCGACGGCAAAAAGGCAACCTGTGGAACGGAAGGAAATATTTCCTAATTATATATCTGATAAGGGATTTGCATCTAGTATATATAAAGAACACTTCAGACTCAACAATAAAGACAAGTAACTCCACTTTAAAATAGAAAAGGATACAAACAGACATTTCTCCAAAGATGAACAAACAACCATAGAAAGATGCCTGAACCGGGTGCGGTGGCTCACACCTATAATCCCAGCACTTCGGGAGGCTGAGGTGAGAGGATTACCAGAGTCCACGGGTTGGAGATCAGCCTGGGCAACTAGGCAAGACCTCGTCTCTACAATAAATCAAAAAATGAGCTGGCGTGGTGGTGCACTAACATTCCTTATCTTCTGTGTTCTGGTATTGATATTTTGCAGCCTTGGTCACCTGGGAGCATCTGTGCCCTTACCTCCCACTGTAGCCCTTCAGGCTGAGCTTACACCTAGAGACAGCCAGGACAGACAACCAGGATCAGCCCTACACCCCAGAGCCACGTCAGACAACCAAGGACAGCCCTATGCCCCAGAACCAGGTATCAGACGATCAGAAGGAAACCCTACACCCCAGAGCCAGGCCAAACAACCAGGGGCAACCTTAGGCCCTAGAGCCATGTCAGATGACCAGAGGCTGCCCTAAGCCCTAGCCCCAGGTATCAGACAACCAGGGGCAGCCCTATGCCCCAGACCCAGGTACCAGACGACCAAGGGCAGTTCTACACCCCAGAGTCAGGTATCAGAGACCAGGGGCAGCCTAAACCCCAGAGCCAGGAATCAGATGACCAGGGATAGCCCTGCATCCCAGGGCCAGGATAGACGTCCTGGGGCAGCCTCTCATCCCAGCGCCTGCTGAGTAACTTAGCCCATCCTAGACCTGCTCACCCTGCCTTGCCCATTTCTGCCCACAGAAACTACAACCAAGGCTTCTCCTCCTGACCCACATTGCCAGGCTCCCAAGTAGCCTTGAGTGGCAAGCCATACCTCCTGCTTCTAGGGGTCTGTGAGGATAAGAAACTTCTTCCTTCAGGACATCTCCATGTCTGCATGTCTTACTATACCTCGTTATAACAAATCCTGGGTATCCATAAAACAACTCTATGCCCACTAGGACAGCTATAATCAAAAACACATATAATAACTGGGCTCGGTGGCTCAGCCTGTAATCCCGCGCTTTGGGAGGCTGAGGTGAGTGGATTGCCTGAGCCCGTGGGTTCGAGATCCGCCTGGACAACTTAGTGAGACCTCATCTCTACAATAAATCAAAAAAAAAATTTTAGTTGGGTGTGGTAGCACGCGCCTGTGATTCTAGCTACTTGGAAGGCTGAGGCGGAAGAATCACCGAAGCCCAGCAGGTCGAGGCTACGGTGGCCGGGAGCAGCCACTGCACTCCAGTCAGGGCGACAGAGTGAGACTCCAACTCAAAAAACAACAACAACAACAAAAAAAAAAAAACACAGACATTAACAAGCATCGATGAGGATATGGAGAAATTATAACCCTCATTCTCTCCCAATGGAAATGTAAAATGGTACAACCACTTCGGAAAGAAGTTTGCCATTTTCCTAAAAGGTTAAATATTTCCACATATTTATACTCAAAGCCCATCATATTACAATTGAACCCACTGCTGTTCAATTAAGCCTCATTCTCTACTGTGTCCAAGTATACAGAAATTGCAGAAATCCAAGTGCTTGTTTTGAATCTAATTTTCAAAAAATGAATACCAAAAGGTAACACTGACATTTCAATGACACTGACGAAAGTGCCAATCAGCTATAAGTTCATTATTTTGAGGACACAGATACTCTAAACCAAACCTGCCATGGGTGGTTACATTTTTAATCTCGTCAAACTGATGAAAAATAGCCATTAAATTATTATATGCAGTCAACCAGTTACATATTTCTATATACGATCATTCACCAATAGAGCAAAAAGTAAGAAGCTTCTTACCTTTTTCTCTTTGAACTTCCAGGCAGTATGAGAAGTGGCATTCTCCTTCTGCTGGGCAAACTCTTGTGCTACTACTGTTTTGACAGGGTCCATTTCAAGGACACAGTTTAGAAACTGCAAAGTGTGTTCCAATGAATAGCTGTAGGAAGTTTAACAAACATTAACAAACAGAATGTTAATGCATGAAGATAAAAGTTATATGGCGATATTAACACAAGCAATCTCTAAGCATTTTCTAAGTATATGAAAAACTGGCTTATTTTTAAGTTTTCAACATTGAAAATAAATGCTCATTGTGTATCTCCAAAGCTCAAGAGCGATCAGAGGGAAACTATCAATAAAAGACTCTCAGAAACGTAATTTTCAAAAAATGAATACCAAAAAGTTAATACTGACATTTCAATTTTCTTTCTTTTTTTTGAGTTGGAGTTTCTCTCTGTTGCCCAGACTAGAGTGCAGTGACACGCTCACAGCAACCACAGCCTCAACTTGCTGGGCTCAGGCAGTCCTTCTGCCTCAGCCTTCCAAGTAGCTGGAACTACAGGTGCACATCACTACGCATGGCTAATTTTTTTTATTTATTGTAAAGACAAGGTTTCGCCAAGTTTTCCAGGCTGGTCTTGAACCACTATTCTCAGGCAAGTCTCTCACCTCAGCCTCCCAAAGTGCTGAGATTACAGGTGTGCGCCCCTGCACCTGGCTTTAATTTCTTTTTTTTTTTTGAATTGGGATCTGACTCTGCTGCCCAGGCTGGAGTGCAGTGGCACAATCACAGCTCCTTGCAGCCTTGACCTCCTGGGCTCAGGCAATCCTTCCACTTCCGCTTCCCGAGTAGCTGAGACTACAAGAGTGTGTCACCACAGTCAGATATTTTTTTGACTTTTTTTGTAAAGACAAGGTCTCGCAATGTGGCCCAGGCTGGTGGCAAACTCCTGGGCTCAAGTGATCCTCCTGCTGGGCCTCCCAAAGTGCTGGGATTACAAGCATGAGCCATTGCACCCGGCCTGATAATTCAATTCCTCATATTTTATTACAGACAGACTATTCACAACAGAGCTTCTTTCATTTTATCACTCATTCTTCTGAAGTCCTTTGTTGGATCCACACATGGTTTCAGTTTTCTTCAGACAACAGATCTTCAAGCTGACATTTTCCTTGTGTCAGTTCCAACTTTTACTTATACCACAAGGTTCTACTTAAAGATATTCTAAGCAGGAATACAGAAAAGAAAAAATAAAACACTCTCCTACCTCTCAGCCCTACATTATTCAGGCACATATTCATGCTAACACTATATATAATCTGTAGTATGAAATTCTAAAAATTGACAAACGTCTGATACATTCATGTTCCAGTATCTAAAGAAAATAATTCTAAAGCAAATTCTAAACTACTTTATACAGTTCATTATTTCAGACTGTTTATGCCCTCAGCTCTTCTATAGGCCAGATACTGAAGAGCTGACCTCAGAGGAATATTTTTTGAAATGTGATAACTAGTTATCCAAAATAGTGTGACATTTCAATTCATTAAAGACAACCTCTTGAGGGAAAGCCATGTGAGACCACTGTTCCACTTCAGTCCTCTCATCCAAAGAAAATGTTATACAATATGTTAAATAATTTTGAGCATGAAATGAAGTTTATGTACAATGAATCATTGGAAATCAAAGGGTGGGTGTGGAATTTCCCACTTTTGGTTTCATGTTGGTGCTTAAAAAGTTTCAGATTTTATAACATGTAGGATTTCAGATTTTTGGATTAGGAAGGCTTAACTTCATATAATATTTATAAAAACTGATCATGTGTTGAACCATGTAGAAAGCATCAAATTTCAGGCCACATTCCTGTACCCCAATACAATATAAACAATAACCTTTTCTCTACCATCACCAAAAAGGCATCAAACCATTTTGAAAATCAGAAACTCTTTGGTAAACAGAAAATCAGAGATTTGAGATTATTTAGAAACAATGAAATTGAGCTGGGCGCAGTCGCTCATGCCTATCATCCCAGCACTCTGTGAGGCCAAGGCAAGAGGACTACCTGGGCCCAGGGGGTGGAGACCAGCCTGGGCAATGTGGTGAGACCTCATCTCTACAATAAATAAATAAGTAAATAAATTAGCTGGGGGTGGTGGCGCACACCTGGAGTTCCAGGTACTTGGAAGGTTGAGATGAAGGATCGCCTGAGCCCAGCAAGTCAAGGCTGTGATAGCCATGAGCATGCCACTATACTACTACCTGGGTGACAGAGTGAGACTCCAACTCAAAAAAAAAAAAAGAAAATACTACATATCAAAATCAAAACAATATACAGAGAAAAATGCTTGCCTTAAATGTATTTGTTACTAAAGATAAAAGGACACGAAGGGTGCCTGATCTAAGCCAGGGAAAGTGAGAACCAGTGGGAGGCCCAAACTGCACCTGCACATAGACTACTTATGTACCTAATTCTGATGTGAACCCCACATCATCATAATAAAATAAAGGGGAAAAAAAGGGAAATGAACTAACCAGGGTTGAAAATATGCTTACAATGTTTAAAAGCATCAGTAAAACAAACTGATTAGGGAACATAACGCAATAGGCTTTAAACAACAGACCAGGAGCTTGATCTTGAAAAGGACCGATCAAATAAAGAGCAAAAACAGAGAAAACACAAAATGGGCAACATTAGGAAAGGAAAAAGGGATGTGATCAAAAACAAAATACTGTTTTTCATTATAAAAGAACTTCATACACAGCCAATAAAGCACTTGGAAATCAAGGTAAGACTGGTGATTTTCTGGAAGACAAAATGACAAAAAAAAGCCAATATCTCAGCAAAGCGATCACTCTAAAAGAGCGAAAAGACTAACATCTGCTTCCTGAGTAGTACAAGCCCAGAACCCTCAAGGTACTAAGTTCTTTAAACTCCATAGCAGACAGAAAAACGCTGGTCTTGCCAGAGAATTTTAATAAGACTGATACCAGGTCAGGCTCGGTGGCTCAGCCTATACTCCCGGCACTTTGGGAGGTCGAGGTGAGTGGTTCGATTGCTTGAGCCCGCAGGTTCGAGACCAGCCCGGGCAAATTAGTGAGACCTCGTCTCTTCAATAAATGAAAAAAATTAGCCAGGCATGATAGCGCATGCCTGTAGTTCCAGCTACTTGGAAGGCTGAGGCGGAAGGATTGCCGGAGCCCTGCAGGTCGAGGCTGCAGTGGCCATGAGCGTGCCACTGTACTCCAGCCTGGACAAAAGAGTGAGATTCCCACTCAAAAACAAAACAAAACAAAAGATATCTACTCAAAACAAACTCTTGCTAGGAATTTAAGGAAAATATATGATCAAAAGTATGTATTATCCAAACCACAGTATTCCTAATATGCCAACATCAAAACACACTATAACACTACACATATTTAAAACAAAATGGTAGCAATTCAGGACTAACAAATAGCTCAATGGAATCAAAATCTTTTTTAAAAATGTGAGGCTAATAAGCCGGGTTCGGTGGCTCAGCCTGTAATCCTGCGCCTTTGGGAGGCTGAGGTGAGTGGATTGCGTGAGCCCGCGGGTTCGAGACCCGCCTGGGCAGTGAGACCTCATCTCTACAATAAATCAAAAAATG